TTGAATGTAATGTACAAATTCTTAAAATTTACCCGTCATGCATGTTCGTAAGGAAAAAAAAAAAAAGGGCACAGAAATCTTGACAGTGCAAAATGTTTAACAGGCTTCCGTTTCAATACTTATGCCAGGAGGGTAGTACGTTCCTGGGTTGTCTTTCAACGGCAGGAGGGTAGTACGTTCCTGGGTTGTCTTTCAACGGCAGGAGGGTAGTACGTTCCTGGGTTGTCTTTCAACGGCAGGAGGGTAGTACGTTCCTGGGTTGTCTTTCAACGGCAGGAGGGTAGTACGTTCCTGGGTTGTCTTTCAGCCTACTACCAAAGTCTCGTGCTCATGACGGGATTGTTGTCTCTCAACCTACTACATAGGTTTTATGCTCATATGGGAGCGTAGTAACTTCCTAGGTTATCAGCCTACTACTTTAAACACAAACAAATGTTTGTGGTAATGTTATATTTTTTTGTTTACTAAATGTAAGTAGAGATGCTGGTAGAAGATTCGTAATGGTTGGATTTTAATGTTTTTAAAGAACGAACGAACGAACGAACGAACGAGAGAGAGAGAGAGAGAGAGGTGGATGGGCACGGTGGATATCAGAATACATAAAGGGCAAGGGGTTGCTATATAGGGGTATCCCATGAGCCCCTTGCTGCATTGCGTCACAGGAGACAGCTACGCCCCACCACACACCCAGGCATGACCTGCCTGCTAGCTCACTCTTACCCACCACACCTACTGTTTTTCCCTCCCTCCCCTCTTACCATTGTAATCCCTTCCCCATCACTGCCACACAACAGTAATCCACAGGACATAACACTACCAACACTTCACCATCACACCGGACCATCAAAGGTGGCGCAGTAACCACTTCTCACCTGTGCTTCACGCTACGACGAGTGTTTCAATTACGATCACGGTTACTCGGCACCGCGTACATGTACTACTTAATATCAAACTATTATATTTGACTTCCATTGTTCGAGTGTGACATGTAATTTCCACCCAGAATAGAATGCCAGCCAGCAGTGACTGAATTGTTGTGTATGAAGACAGAAATAATAACTGCTGCTGATTTTTTTACGGCAGGCACATTGAAGAAGGGACATACCGTAGAGAAAGCGAGCAAGTTTAAAAAAATATATTTAAAAGATGCATTAATGTTAGAAAACGCTTGCACACTAAAAACGAATGCGCACATTTTACATAGCGCTTAGATGCTCGTTGTTAAGCATTTACATGCATCCTAGAAGACACGCGCACACAATAGAAATATCTGGCATAACAAACCATACCACGGTTTGTTTGCAATCGTGTCATTACGATTTCGTGGATCTGTGCTCCAGTTCCCCGAATTAAGCCTGAATCCCTTCCACATCCCCCCCCCCCAGGAGCTGTATAATCCTCCGGGTTTAGCGCTTCCCCCTTGATTATAATAATAATAATAATACGATTTCGTGAGTCAACTATCTGGCATATTAGACCTACGCACGTGCTAGAAAATTTAACAGGTAGAGGGGGAGCCCCTGCCTGCGTGTGACACCACTCAGCTACGTTTGGTGATAAAAATATTTCCGAGATGCTTTAAAAATAGGCAGATATAAGAGTGAGAATACTTTATTAAAGACACGTTGCAGAACGCGCGTTTATCAAGAGTTTCTCTGTGCTGGGTTTACCAAGTATAAACAGTGAAACTTGTTTCAAAACCTTAATCGGCAATGTGCTCTTCTTTCACTGTCTGCATTACACCACTCGAATCCCAGAATGGTTGGGTTTGAAAAGGATCTGCTAACATGGGCCAGTAGTCCTCTGAAGCGTTTTGCTTTTATGCTAAACAACCTTAACATTAGTTACAAAAAACATGTAACTATGAATTATATAATTGTCAGAAACTTAGGAGGCTCGACCCGCCTTCCGGGAAATTTAACCCCATGCCCTGCCTGAGAAAGCCACTAATGATGTGCACATTTGAGAAATTGCTTCAGATATTTCGTTTAAGTTTTAAAAGTAAAGTTATAAACCAGAAACAACAACAGATATATTTTAAGCCTCTAAATAATTAACTATTTGTAATGTGTACGCACTAAAAGTGTGTCAAATTATATATGGGTGTCTACGAGCTTCAGCTAAATTTGATGGTATTAGTACCGGCCTAAAATTGAGCATTTTTGGGTATCGGGTATCCGCCAATTTTGATGGTATCTGTATTCGTTTAGGTACCTTGGTCTTCGATAATTTTGATGGTATTAGTTTAGGTACCTGGGTATCGGATAATGTTGATGGTATTTGTTTAGGTACTTGGGTATCTGCTAAGTTTGATGGTATCGACTTAAAATTGAGTATATCGGTAACTATTGTCGGATGATCTCATGATTTGTCTATGATTTAATTAATCAAACACTAAATAGTAGCTAATTAGCTACCCTCTATAATGGCTCTACCAAGTTCACACTCCGCTGTTTCTCTTATCGCTTCTCTACCCCATATAGATAGATAGGTCCTAGACTCGCTGTTTTAGCGCTCTTGATCTAGGGAATTGATCTGGTGATCGCTTCCTGAATTCAAGCGAATTACTTCCACATCCCTCCAAGGTGCGCTGAATCCGGTTAGCGCCCCCCCAGTGATATAATATCGGGGTTGCTCCATGTCTAATATACAGTCTCCATCACATTAGATGTATTTGACCACTGGAGAAGCTATATTATAATGAAGAGAGAGCGCTAAACCCGTAGGATTATGCAGCGCCTGTGGGAGGGATGTGGAAGGTATTCAGGCTGATATTATCGAAGGGATGCTAATACTGAGGGAAAATACAGGACTACTCAAGGTTCTCCACTGTCCTTAATCAGACTGGAGGAAGTGAACGTGTTCAGATATTCGGGAGTGGACTTGTCAGCAGACAGAGTAAAGTAACAGCCGAGTCCTTACACGGTCTTCATAAGTAGCGGTCAGTTCAAACTCCCTGACCATCACTCACTACTACTACTACTACTACTACTACTACTACTACTACTACTACTGTTTGTCTACTAGATCGGTCAGGACAACACTACCTGTACTTTCAGTGCTAGCCAGAGCACAAACTACTACCACTCTTCCCTGGGCTCAGTAATAGCAGGGATTGGAAGTAACCTCCAGATTAGTGAGAGTAGGCTGCTCATACAGACTTTCCAGGGGTCACATGGTATTACGAAATACACACCATGCTCAACCCCTTCTTATATGGCCTCATTCCAACACTATACCAGTTCCAGCTCCGTTCACCATTAACTGATCAGTTGTCCTTACAATCATTACCTCAACATAACTAAATATTTAAGATCAAGACAAAACCATAGAAAAAACCATTTTGCATAACCCAGGACAATGTAGAGGAAAATTTATTAAAGAAATCTACACATTAAATTACCCCAGAGTATTAAAATTTTATAAGTTGAATCTTAAAATACTTTGTTTCAGAAATATATTAGGTAAAAAAAATTTAAATTTAAATCAATAAACACTACACAGGAGTTACATTAAGAAAAATCCAGTAACATCTAATACCAAACTATTCACATTTTATACGCCTAATATCTTGCCAGTATAAAACATATATGTATCAATAATATATAGACTACCCCCCTCCATCCCCCAGGATTTTTTTTCCAGTCATACTAAAACCAAACAAAAATAAAGAGTAAGACGCCCTACATGCAAGATATGCTGAGTTTGTACTATCAGATGACAATTTTTTTTCAGATTGTAGAATCTAAAGTCATCCTTTCATCAAGTAAGTCCATAAGTGTCCCCCAGAGGACTAATCTTAACTCTAAGGTTTCCCAACACCACTTTTCACTTCTCATTTAATTCCCAAAGGATTCTTCAGAACGCTGTTCTGCAGCTTTCCATCACTTTCTTTCTCCCATCACTTTTCCCTCAAGGGAGGTCCCTTGATTCCGGTGAGGGGCTCTTGATCTATGGAATTGGACCTATGCTGCGATTCATTAATGCATGCTTTTCATTACCCCAGGTACTGTATGACCTCTATGGTTTTAGCTCTCCCCCATAAAGGTAATATCTTTTTCACCCATTTCAAAGCTCACAGAATATATCCCAATAAGGTTGCCTCTTAGATGTTGTCATTAAGTTTACTAAAATCAAGGTAAACAAAAGTATCTCAATCCTTTCCTGGTGTAAAATACGTTAATATTGTAAGTTTCCCACTCCACTAATATTGTTCAACCTGGTTCAGCAAGATCACCTTCTCACAAATCTAAGCACACGAGATAATCTCCTGCTCTTTATCTTCTAGCTGAGTTTGGGTAGTCACAGGCGGCCATAGACAACCTCGGGGGCTAGCTCTTATTTTTTTCCATTGGGTGAGGTTGACAGGAGTAAAAGGGGAATAAGAGGAAATGGGGTCCAAGGGGTCCTTGCTGCTTGAAACCTCTCTTCCAGATTCTTCAGCGAGGCTTCCATTAACGAGTTAGATAATCAGAATAGGATTGATAGACCCCTGGCACTACCCTGGTTGGGCCAAATGGCGTGGGTGGACTACGCAGGTTCCGAGGTGGAACCTGCGTAGTCCAGTTCAGAGCACCAAACATTTGGGAGCGTCACACCCCTCAAGGGAAGCTTCTTGATGCTGGTGAAGGCTCATGATCTAGGGAATTGGATCTGTGCTCCAGTTCTCTGAATTAAGCCTGAATACCTTCCATCCCCCCCCACTGGCGCTGTATAATCCTACGGGTTTAGCGCTTCCTTATGATTATAATAATGGGAGCTTCACAACTTCCACTAAACCACATCTTTTTCCACCACCCTCACAACCTCTCTTTTCTAGCTCGTCCTCCCCTTTTCCACTCTATATCCAGTTCCTTCCACTATGCTCTTCAAAAAGTGCTTTCTCTCTTATTGGTGGTAGAGCGATGAGGAAGGGAAAGACAGTAAACAAAGTTAGACTTCCTCCAGTCTCCTATACCGATACCATCAAAATTAGCCGATACCGATACTTAGGTACACACCTTATCATACGAATAGAACATATCTCCATTTGATGGTCAGCAGGGTCACTTCCAGACAGAATGGTTTGATATTATATCCTGGTATGTAACTCTATCATACACATGCACTCCTCTAGGCTGACAAGCCCATACTGCCACACCTAGGAGCAGTAATCACGGGGGGCTTATCAGGGGACAGGGGGGGGGGAAGAGACCCGCACGAATCATATCCACCCATATTACTGCCAACCGCACAGTTAGTTTCTTTAAAAGAAACTTTTTACCTATACATGAGTAAGTGAAAAAGTTACACTGTATAACATGTACGTAATTTACGTTAATATGTTAGAAGTACAATGATAAAACAACGAATACAGCAAATTACCTTAACGACCATTGACCTAATAGTTAGATCAATGTAAACAGATAAACCCACACGTAACAACAGCGTAGCTTATGGCTTTATGAAAGCTGGAATATTGCTTACCAAAGGTTTTAGTGCCAGAATTCAGCAGGTGCAACCAAGTTGCAGAAAAATACAGATGCAGTAAGACCAAATATTGATAAAACACGAAGGAAAATAGATATAATAAAGAAGCATTTACAAATGTAACAGAAATTTAAATCTGGATATATTAATAAAAATTTGGATATCATCATCATCTGTCTGCTATCATCTGCAGATGATGATAGACAGACACTAGAAAAGAACGTTTTATTTATTAAACTTTTTGCCCACTTGGGGCTTAATCAGGTATACACTTAATAAAACTCAGTGGGTGCAATGTTCTATAAATATCAGGTTCTCTGCTTTAAGTGACTTTATACCACAGCAATAAATAACAAAACTCACAAAAACGCCTAGTTGCACAGGACCGCGGGTGTGGAGGTTTGATTATTGTCTTGTACCGTCTTCTTCAAATCATCCTTTGTAGACGATATACAGAGTATGTATGTATGTATGTATGTATGTATGTATGTATATATATATATATATATATATATTATATATATAATCGTCTACAAAGGATGATACAGTGCTATGATTTGTGATTTGTCGAAGGATTTTGTAAAGTCAGTGCATTTTATATTATCTATCAGTACTCAGAAGACCTTGTGACAATAGTGCAGCAGTTGCGAGAGACAGGAACAGCCTGATCTAAGCCCATGTTTGTCTAATTGCTTTATTGCTGTCATTCCGTATGTTTAGCATTCTTCTTTCTTAAAACTCAAGGTATTTTTTTTACAGAGATACTTACAATAAGTCTGTACTTGGACAATGTTTGGATCGTTGGTGATCTTTTTTTCTGGCTCACCTGTGAGCAAAACATTCTCTTTGTAATCCCCTGTCAGCGTCATCTTTTTGTTTTTCAAATGGACTTGAAATTGTCAGAGAATTTATAGGCGTACACTATGAAAAAATGTGTAGTACAGGTTATTGCAGTTAAAAGTGATAATTATAAGTTGTCGGCTTAACGCCATTGTGTAGACTCATCTTACTTTTAAGAGAGGGATGCTGAAAATGTGTCAGATGGGGCTGGGTTGGTTGACCAGAGGAAGCCTCGCCCCAGGTCTGGCTGCCAGGGTAAAAGAAACTTCAAAACCAGTCGTAGGTGATGTATTCATATATTAATATGCTCATGATGATTGGAAGGTGTTCAGGAGCATATTAGTATGCTGCTACAGGCAACTTAAAATAACAAGCTGTTTTGTTCTTGCATAGGCTTCTTAGTGCATCTTTAATTTCTCCGAGTCGCATATATACAGCGTACAAAGGTAAAGACCCGGAAAATATCCTAGGGTCTCTACACATATGCTGCTATGTATGATAATCTATGTAACTGTATTTGTGTACACCTGAATAAACCTATTAATCCTTGATAAGTAAGTTTATTCAGGTATACACAAATACAGTTACATAGAATTATCATACATAGCAGCATATGTTTAGAGAGTCTAGGATAGCCCAAGTTCAGAGTGCTGGCGTAGAGCCGACATTGCAGTTATCTGAGTACTTACTACTGCATCATCAGCTCTTCAGGCGGTAGACCTTGACATGGTCCCCGAGAGTTTATTTCCTTCCACACTAGATGTGAGTCAGCGGTGATCAGTTTAGAGGCCAGTGACTATACCCTCACCTACTGGTCATGTGACTCGCATCAGCTTTGTGTCTCGTGTCCCGGTTCTAGTCCTTTACTATCCTCAGATTATAGCACTACTTTTTAATGCTTCTATTACTATCTTGTGTGAATAGCTTTTATTGTGTGCTCCCTCCCATGGTGACTTTATTTACTGGTCCCCCCCTCTCGTGGTCACTTGGGTCGGGTTAGATCAGGTTGCTTGTGGTTTCGTTACATGAGCCTATAAATACATAAATTTAAGAACAAATAAGCAAATTACAGTGACTAACCATGATGCGTCTGGCAACTAGATTACCGAGGAAAATCAAGCAACGTTCATAAAGGAACGTTTATTAATTTTGGTGCTACAGTGTGCTGAGGGAAGGGAGGGTGGGGAAGCGGAGGAGGAAGGAGGGAAGAGAGGGAGGGAAAGCGGAGGAGGAGGAGGGAGGGAAGTGAGGGAGGATGGGAAGTGGAGGAGGATGGAAGGAGAGGGTTGCTGGACTTTTAAAGATTGTTTTTGCTTCATTTTCGTTTACTTTTTTTTATCTTGTTCTGTTCTGCTTATTATTTCTCATTAGTCTCTTGTTCTCTCTTCCTATCGTCCTTCGTAGTCATGTTGGCTTCCTCCTCCTCCTCCCTCTTTTCCCTCGCCTCCCCATACTCCCTCCTTTTACATTACCTCCTCGTCCTGTCCTCCACGACCCTGGGGTCACTAACATCTTTCTCCCTACCTCCCTCCCTCCTTCCCTCCCTCCATCCCCCCCCGTGAAACCGTCCTCCCTCTCTTCGTCCATCCGTTCCTCCTTCCCTGTCCGTTCATCCGTCCCTCCTTCCCTCTCCGTTCATATGCATCTCCCTCTCTCTCCGTCTGTCTTACTCTCTCCCTCCTCCCTCCGTTCTTCCATGCCTCACTCTCCCTCCCTCCGTTCTTCCATGCTCACTCTCCCCCCCCCCCAACAGCCCCTCCCAAATGTCTGGCGTTGACTTGAAGTCCTACTGGCGCTGATTTCAATATGGCGGATAAATTTTTGCCTTGAGTGTAATTCTCAGTATTTTCTTGTATTTGTAACTTGGTGGAAAACGACGAATTTAGCGGGATGTTTATGTATTTTTGATATTCCATACAAATGTACAGATTTGCGTTAATGAGGGAGAAGGCAAAGGAGTTTTTTCTCTGTTCGGTGCATTTGAGTTGTTTACTAGCTTTAAAAAAAAATTGTGAGAATATCTTTGGGTATTCTGTCATATGTATGCTTCCTTAAACCTGCTGTCCCTGTTCACCTAGCGGTAAGTAGGTACCAGGGTGTTAGCCACTTGTTATGGGTCACATTGTGGGAGACAAGATTAACCTAAGTTGCCCGAAATGCTCTGCATAACCAGGGGCTTTCTGTATAGTATGTCATTGATGTCAGCTAAGTCTGTAATAGTTGTATCATCTACTTGTAAAAATAAAGATTATTATTATTATTATTATTATTGTTTGTTGTTATTATTATTATTATTATTATTATTATTATTATTATTATTATTATTATTATTATGTTGGTGTTATCACCTTGATTGAGAATCACGACTCGACCATTATCCGCAGTGGTTACAAAAATATTTGAGGCTGGCGAGGCAGTAAGGACTCTTTTGCAGTATTTGGACAGAGAGGGAGTAGCAGATTCGAAGATGGTTCCTGTGATACATCCTTGGACGAAGCCTTTCTGGAAGGTTGATGTGTTATACTTGCTCCTCGTGATAGTGTGACTGTAGGTTGTAGGAGGCTTGTGTGTCTGTTGCGAATTTGTGATCTAGACTCAGTGCTTCAGTTTTGTAGTGTAAGGAATTCTTGTGAATAAACGGATTAGAAAACCGACAAGTTGATTAATGAGACTTGTGCAACTCTTGGGTATCTTTATTATGGAAACGACTTGCCACCCAGTGGCTTTAGTCCAATGCAGAGAAAGGTGGACGATAAGGAGGAGTTTGAGGTAATCAGTCCCTCAGCCTGGAGTCCGTGGTAAGAACACATCGACTGAGGGACTGCTTACTTCAAACTCCTCATCTTCCACTTTTCTCCATATTGGACTGAAGAAGTCATTGGGTGGCGAAACGTTTCCAGAACAAAGATACCCAAATGTTGCATAATTGTCTCATTAAAGAATTCTTAATGATTAAGGATCTGTCTAAAGTGCTCTACTTGCTGCCGGTGATAAGAGATGGCAGTTTTAGTTTGAGCCTAATTCTTTGTTGAATGTTAACTATGGTGACGCAGTAAGTGTAGCTTTTAAGTTACGTAGGTTTGATTGCGGAAGGTGTGCTTGTTGAAAAGTTTTCTTGGGGAATCCTTAAGAGATCCTGGAGTCGCTTCCGGAGGTCACCGCCCCCACGGCCCGGTCCTAGACCACGCCTCCTGGTTGCTGACCTGATCAATCAAGCTGTCAGTGCACACCGTCCGCAATCCAATATATGCACCACAACCAGGCTGACCAGGAACATTTGAGGAAACTGTTGAGTTCCCTCTGGAAGACAGCATCCTTCAGACATCCAGGGCAGGCAGGTCCTCTGTGCTCTCTTTAAGGTAGAAACGTACAGTGAAAAATAAAATGATGTAAACTACCGGAGAGTTTATATAATGATGAATAACACACATGCAGCATAATAGTATTTTATAAGTGACCATCTTCCTGCCTGTGCTTCATATTCATCATGACTACGGTTATAATACCTCGTATTCTACTCTTTCCAGCTTCGACATCTTCAAATAAACTCTGTATTGAATTGATAAAGTCACTGTCGGGCGAAACGTTTTCGTAACAGAAATACCCAGGTGTTGCATATGTATGTTATTTATCTTGTCGGTAATGTATATCATTACTGCTACTTCAGTTGATGACCATCTCTTTAGACAGTCCGTCAGTTACGAAGGTTGTGTGCTAGTTAGTCAGGGTATTCTTTATAGCAAGATTCCATGTTGCTGTTGTTGTTTCTGACAAGTGTAATTAGATCAAAGGTATATAGTAGGGGTGTGCCAAGGTGTCGTATCAGGAGTATCGGCTAATTTTATGGTATCTGCATCGGCCCGAAATTGAGCATCGGTGTCAGTATAGGCAAATATTTTGGTATCGTCCCATCACTAGTATATAATGCTAACAATTTGATGAATAAGACATATGCAACACTTGAACATCGTTATTTGAGAGAGTTTTCGGCCACCAGTGGCTTTATCAGTCTACCACAGGCATGAGAAAGGAGACTAGAGGTGGAAGTAATGGTGCAATGTAGTAGTGACCACATAACCATGTGCAGAGTTAGATAGCGGAGATGTAATTTAATTTGATGTCAGGTTTGATTTGCGATGTAGTAGTAGCACTGGTAGTGACTCAGGTAATCTTGGGCGGGACATGTTAATGGAAATGTAATTTATTTGATGGCCGTGTCTTGGCGTTTTATGATTAATGGAGCCAGCACTTTCGAGATATTAAAATTCCTTGCGTTTTATACTATGGTGTTGAATGTAACAATGATAGATGACTCTAAACAATTACTCTTCTGGTGTTTTTCTTTCATGACACAGTTCCAGTTCATAATGTCCATTCGAGCTGCTCTGTATAATGTTGCCATGAGTTCTAACCCCACCCGTACCGCGATTTGTTTGCTGTCGTGTTATTACGATTTAGTGAATCAAGCATGTGTGTGTTCCCTGACTCTGGTGTTCGAATACCTAGAAGTCTCCCCATTGTAAACTATTATAGTCTCGAGATGAACTCTAGTAACCTCGCACGGCTCATAGTGCAGTTTGTTCCAGTCTATTCCCTGTGAGATCCTTAATAATGGTGGTAGTAGTAGTAATATTTACATTATTATATTACATTTATGGAGAAGCGCTAAAAGTTTAGGGATCATCCAGCACCTGTGGAGTAGAATTGCATTATATTTTATCCCAGGAAGGGAAGGCATATGTTGTAGAGAAACAGTGTATACACTGAGCAGCTCTCAGTTACTGTGCATAATTGATTATTTATCTACAGTCACCTAAATTACCTAGAACTTAGCACGCGGAGGTGGCTTCTCCTAGAATGGAAATAGTAGCGACTTCGATCTTAAACTGGGCTCGAGTGTGAGAAATGTTCTGTGCTGGTGTTTGACTCTACTGAATATCTGTTGATGGTATTCTCTTTTCTGGTAGTGGTTGTACTAGTGATATTTTGTTTATATCTATGCTCAGTATAGTGTTTGTATAGTCGGAGTTCTGTCTCCTGGTCCCGCCTCTTGAGCTTCATCAATCAGAATATCCTGGTTTCTTAAAACTATGTATGGAGTTTGCCTCCACCACTTCCAGCATCCATTTCATTCCACTATCCTCCTACCCTGAGACTGAGACAGTGTTTCCTGAAGTCATTGTGAATCATCTGTGATTTTAACTTCCAACTATATCCCCTTGTAATGATTAATGTGAACCTCGCAGTCACATCTTCCCTTGTCCTCTTTACTAGGGTCGTCACATTCAATTTATTTAGTCCTTCATAATGTACTCCACTCACCCACTAGGACTAATCTGGATGCAAACCTTTGCACATTTTCAATAATTTAAACATACTTAAAATCAGATGAGACTTGGAAGTTGGTGGAACATAGTTTACGATGGGCTTCCTGTGTGTTGTGTAGAGTTCTAAAAGATCTTTGTTGATATTTTTGTGGGCTCTTTTGAGATTTGCCAGTCTCGCATTGACTGGTTTATTTACTCTTCCAGTGATATGTCCGGTATGATGCTGACTCCAAGATCCACAGAACGCTGAGGGACCTTTCTGTTCCAATCCTTTGTAAGCCCTCGAAGTCTATCCTCCAAGCTTTAATAATGAAGTTAATGCAATAATGTTAGATGCGCTAGAAGTAACTTTTTTTTTTTTTAGCATATGAATTTATAGGCTTAAGAGATGTTTACTTACCTTGGCTCATTTTAAATCTCAGTCGCGGAATGACACCCACAACAATAGACGTACACTTAAGTACATATTCATTGGTAGATGAATAGGGGCAGCCAGGGTAAGGAGCTTTCGTATACGTTGCAGTATCTTCTAGTAATCAAACCCAGGTCTTAGAATTGTTAGTGTTAAATTTTAAGTGCTAAAAGTGTCAGTAGTATTAGGTGTGAGTATATTAGCCATGTTTTAGGTTTTTGTTAGTTGTGAGTGTATAAGGTGTAAGTGTGTTAGCCACAATGATAATGCACTAATAAGGTGATGTGTTTGCACTCTCCCATACAGTCGCAAGTTTGGATTCGTAAAACTGAGCGAGGCGGTGAACAGCAAGAAGCGCGCGCTGGTGCTGAAGGCTGTGCGCTACCTCGAGTCCCTCATCATCCACGCCAACAACAACAAAAACATCAACAATAACAACAACACCAACAATAATAATAACAACAACAACGATGGCGGTACGGAGATCGACTCCAAGAGGTGTGCCTTATCCCCCACCACTACCACCACCACTACTATCATCATCAAGAAGGAGTCAGACCTCTCCACCAACATCGCCACCACCACCTCCAACAACCACCCTCCCTCAGACACTACCCTCCTCGATACCATCTCTTCCCAAGAGGATGAGGATGACGATAGTTCCTCCGGCAGAATCAACACCTCCACCACCACTAGCACGACCTCCCACACACACAATGCCAGCGACACCGCCATCAGCATCGAACCCAGGACCTACTGCAAGCTCGGTCACCTCCACCTGCTTCTCGAGGACTACCCTAAAGGTCAGTCGCCATACTGTGTCTTAGCTCAATATTTTGTAAGCCTGGCTTGGATAGTACAGTGTCTGTCTGGCGATTAGTGAGAGGTGAGAACTTCATATTATAATATAATAATAATAATAATAATAATATTATTATTATTATTATTATTATTATTATTATTATTATTATTATTATTATTTGCATAGAAACCCATATAACATGCTTTTCAACCTGCTACCAGCACGTATATGAAATATTTTCCACATACCTATACAGATTTCCAAAAGGAAACTAGCTAGACCTCTGCTTCCTCCTGGTTACATTCTCAAGTGATCAGTCTAAATCCATTGTTCTCCGTAATTTATATTGAATAAAACATGCTCACCACTTGGATATCTGTATTGGGTTGATATCTGTACTGATTGACAAAGCCACAGGTTTGGGAGACTGTCTCCACCGGTGCATTTGATGTCGGTGAAGAGCTCTTTATCCAGTCCATGAATTTTGTCGCAGTCTAGCATATAATGACGGAGGGTGTGACAGTATGTCCTCTGACAGTTTTATTTGGTTTGGTCTAGGCTGCAGGTGCCTCACAGAGGCCCCTGCAGCCTAGGCGAAGCCGCGCAGAAGCGATATTCAAGAGTTTTTCTGATTTTGTTGGATTCTCCGTAGACGTTTGGCTGCTCTTGCATGATAAAATGATGATGGACTGACTTGTGCCGATCTTACTCTATCTCAGTTGAAGTACTTTCGTATTATTGTCCTCAGACTACTAGTTAATAGTCTAAAGTTGTAATGACTTCTTCCTTGATGGCAAACACCTTTGCCAGATCATCAGTTCTGTTATGCATCTGAAGGCCAATATGAGAGGGAATCCACACAAGGTTTATCCTGACTCCACTGATTACAATTCTACTGTACCTGCTATGTCTTCCTTCTGACACGAGCATGTTACAGGTGACGCCTAGGGAGTTAATGAATGACAGTGAATCACAATTAAGGTGTCAGCTTAAGACATAGACACATTTGAGGAAAAGATTTATAGCAAGCAGTTCAGTTTGAAGGGTAGAAACCCAAATGTTGATGCATGCTACAAATTCTACATTGAGGTCATCGCTGTTTGACATAAACGGCATTACCAGCTGTACCAGTGCACTGGTGATCATAGCCGTCCGCATACATAATTTCTCTAATACACAAAGAGCACTGATCAACAACCAAAATGCTTCCGAGACTATAGTGTAGCAATTTCCTAGTTTTAGGTCACTGATAATGAATATCATGGTTAAAATTGTTAGCTCTACTTTTCAGTATACATCTACGTGTCACAACAGGTTCCAACAGGCTTGCGGCAGTGTGTTTCTTGCCACACTCACAGTCTCACTGCCCTTCATTATTGTTCCAGCAGTCATAGAAGCTGGTTGTGCTGTGCAAGTTTATATTTTGAGGTGAAAGGTAGGTGATTTTCTTAGCCAAACACTTCTTAAACATAAATATTCACTGAGCAAGCTATTGATATGCATGTGAGGCATAAATACTTCTGCTTAGCTGTCATGCTTTGTGTTATAATGATAAATTAATGAATAAATTTTCTGTTTACCTTCTAATTGTTGTTTTCTTTCAGATGCCTCGTACTTGTGTGAATAGGGCAGACAACTTCTGCTACATTTGTGGTGAGGTGACCTTTGCATCACAGAAGCGCTGTGTAACTGCTATGGTTAGAAAGGCATATCACCTGTATTTTGGATGCAAGATTGGTGACCAGGATAAGATCTAGGCTCCACACATACGCTGCAACAATTGTGCTACTAACCTTCGCCAATGGTTGAACAGGAAGAGGAAAGGAACTGCCTTTTGCTGTGCCAGTGACATGGTGGGAGCCAACAGACCATACCAACAATTGTTATTTCTGCATGGTACCTCCAGTACAAAGGGGCTTGTCAAAGGAAAAAAGGGTCCATTGAATATCCAAACATTCCATCAGTTATTCGCCCAGTTCAACATGGAGAAGGTCTACTTGTTCCTGATGCACCAACTTCGGTATCCTTCGAGTCAGGTGAAGAAAGTAGTGAGGAGGAAGAAGAGAAGGATGACAGTGCTGGATTACAGTGACCGAAACTTTGATGAAGCACACTCCTCTAGGCCACATCTCATAACAAAAGAGGAACTCCATGACCTTGTCAGGGATCTGCAACTACCCAAAAATAAGGCAGAGCTGCTAGGCTCTCATCTTCGTGACCGTCAGCAGCAATTCAACGATTTCTTCATAATGGAAGGTGATTTAGTGGCTTGCAACAATATTAATGGTCTGATGGAAGCACTTGGCATCGACTACGAACCCAGTCACTGGAAGCTGTTCATAGATTCATCAAAAACGAGTCTAATAATGCATCAGTTCCTGTGGGCTATGCACCACATACGAAAGAAACTTATGAGAATAGAAAGCATAGGTTGCAATACACGACATATGATGAACATCATTGGCAGCTCTGTGGTGACTTAAAAGTTGTTGCTCTTGTGATGGGGTTGCAGGGCGGATACACCAAGTTCTGCTGCTTTCTCTGTGAATGGAACAGCCGTGCAAGAGGTTCCCACTACGTCAGGAGAGACTGGCCACCTCGTCAGTCATTGAAGCCTGGGATGAAAAATGTTCAACATCCACCTCTCATTGAACTAAATACAATTTTGTTACCACCACTACACATAAAACTGGGGCTCATGAAAATCTTTGTAAAAGCTATGGACAAATTCGGTCAGGGACTCAAGTATTTAACATCAAAATTCCCCTCACTGAGCGACGCTAAAATAAGAGAGGGAGTCTTCAATGGTCCTCAGATTCGAGAGCTTCTTAAAGATGGTGACTTTGAATCAGACCTTCATGGAGAGGAGAAAGCTGCTTGGGAAGCATTCAAGTTAGTGGCGAGGGGATTTCTCGGAAACAGAAGGAAGGCAACTATGAAGAATTGGTGGAAAACCTCATCAAGGCTTATAAGAACATGGGATGTAACATGTCACTTAAAATCCACTTTTTGGACTCACATTTAAACTTTTTTCCCGAACTGTGGGACAGTTAGTGACGAACATGGTGAAAGATTTCACCAAGATATTTCAACCATGGAAAAATGGTACCAGGGAAAATGGGGCCTTACCTTTGAAAAGCTTGGAGAGTTAATTAATCTACTCTCTGAGCCCGGCCATGGGCCAGGCTCGTCTGGTCCTTACCTGGTCAACCAGGCTGTTGCTGCTGAAGGCCCACTGCCCCACATGTCCATAACAGCCTGGTTGATCTGGCACCTGGTGAAGATACAAGAATCCTTGCAGACTATTGCTGGACATTGGCAAGAAATGATTCTTCAGCCCACTATAAGCATCGGGCAAAAAGGCAGAGAGTAGGTACAGATTAGAGTTTAAATTATACTGACACGTATTGTACGTTATAATAAATAATCAAATATTACATGCCTCGTATTTTTAAACCTACAGCGAATAAGGATTTTTCAAGCTGCTATTTGGATTCAGGACCTGAAAATACGTAAGAATTAACTAATCTCATTTTAGAAGCATACAACTTTTGAAAAATTGTTGACCAGTTTAATCCGCACACACAAGAGAGAAAGGCTTATGACGACGTCTCGGTCCGACTTGGACCATTCACAAGGCGGACCGAAACGTCGTCATAAGTTTTCCTCTCCCCTATGTGCGGGTTATTGGTATATTGTTCCAGTCAGGGTATTGTGCTTTTTTGTTCTTCATAATTTGTCTTAAAGAATGTCGTGTGACTAAGGCAGCGGTACAATTTAAAATATGTTGCTTAGCTTCATTATGAAGCTTTGATTATGATTTAATAAGGTTATTTGGAATCAAGTGAAGGATATTAATTTGGAAAGAGATAATTTCTCATAGGCAGAGAAGTGTCGTTGTTATCTTACCTGACATAGATCATATACCTAATTTATTAGGTATATGTTAGTTGCAGTTTTTATCCGTCTGAAAAAGTGATTACCTTTTGGTAAAGTTATGGAATGCTTCTGTATGGGTTTGCCCAAGCATGTTGTTATCAGTGAGTGTGGCTCTTTCACTGATTTGATCTTTGATGTTTGTGATGTAAAGTTCTTTCTGCATATTTATTATTTTAGTAGTACATGGACAATCCTAGGATGATCCTCATCGCTTCTTTCTGGAATTTTTCAAGCTCTCGGAAGCTTTGTAGGTAGGGTTGCAGTGTAATCAGCTTGTGAGCTGATAGAACCAAAATGAATCATTTTTACTACTCACAGTTTTTAAGCTACTCAGAGTGCTCACTTGAATGACGTTACGTGGCAGTTGGGAAGAGACAGTGTGAAACAAAGCAGATATTTTGAAACGGAAGATGGGGAAAGAAGCGGACACTCGGAGTAATACTAGTTAACAGAGTTAACGCATAGACTACCACAGTACTCGTCATAATTCTCTTTCTCATTCTCGTATCCCTCATAGTCAAGGACATAAGTCATAGCACTATATCCTTTGCAGATGATACTAGAATTTGTATGAGAGTGGCATCCATTGAGGATACTGCAAACCTCCAAGCTGATGTGACCCAGGTCTTATAGTGAGCCACAGAAAACAATATGATGTTCACTGAGGACAGTTTTCAGTTACTCCTCTATGGGAAAACATTAAGAATTAAAAATTGACAGGGATATAAGGCGAATTCGAACCAATCAGCAAAGTGAAAGAGGAACGTGAGGGACTTGGGAGTGATTATGTTAGAAGACCCCATGTTTCAAGGATCACAACAGTGCTACTGTCACAAAAGCTAGGGAATTGAAGGCTGGATACACAGAGCCTTCAAAACAAAAGATGCCAAGCCATTGATGATACCCTTTAGGGCACTTGTTCTCTCTACACTAAAATCTTTCTGTATACTTAAAAACCCTTTTAAGGCAGGAGAAATTGCAGATATGGAGATTATGCAGATAACCTTCACTACCTGTATAAACTCTGTTAAGGACCTAAATTATTGGAATTGCTTGAGGGCC